GTTAACCTGCACTATTTACTACTTTGCCGTATTGTTGTGCCCATTTACCAACTATCTACCCATTTATGTACTTTTGACCCGGTTTTCTACCCATTTTTGCTAATTTTCACCATTTTCATAACTTTTCAAACTTTTTGACATAGATTGTCGATGGCGAGTGATAGCTTTGACCCTGATGCTTATGCTCCACTAGAGGATGTCCCTCGTATAGGCCTGTAGCAATTTTACAAGCAAGACATTGTCAGCCCTCGTGATATAGTACTATGTGAGCTTGGCCTCCATGTCTCCTCGACAGCCTTTAGGGTACGTTTTTCTCCTTTACTATCATTTCTATAGTCTTTGTCTTTTTGTTTCATTTTCTTTCATTTGCTCTAAACCACAACTTTAAACGTTTCTCTTCTTTGTTTTTACAAGAGAGTAATCGGGCTATACGGGGCTTTGGTTCTGTTTCGGGTGTGATTGAGTGGCACGCCCACCTTCCAGACCCTGTCAGCTTTCTGGTCGAGGGGACAGGTTTTGATACCTTATGCGATTCCCTCAACGATGCCAGAGTCGATCATAGCTATCTAAGCGCTTTGATGGAGAGGTGATGGGACACCACTGACACCTTCTATTTTTTGAGGTCCAGGGAGATGACTATGACCCCCAAGGACTTCACCATGCTCTCCGCCCTTCCTGTTAGCGTCTTACCTATTCCACTGGACCCGGGACTAGCTGATGATGATGAGGCTTTGGTACATCTGCTAGGTGAGGCTTCTCTCCACTCTCGAGGTCTCATCTGATATTCCCTGTTTCTTGAGTAGTTTTGCTATCTTATACAAGTTACTCTGGACGAGGCCGCCCAAACTGAGACTTACACAGCTAGCTATGAGCTAATGATATACCCAATCAATGGTCTTAAAATGTGGGCTAGGATAGGTTTGCCTGGACTATTACTCTTACATGTGAAAAAGCAGTTTGGTAGACCCAAAAATAAGAGGATAAAGCAAGTTGATGAGCCTAAGAATTCCCACAAGTTGAAAAGGAAAAACACAACTACAACATGCAGCTTATGTGGTAAATTTGGGCACAACAAAAGAAATTTCAAAGGCCAACCAATATTGGTCCAAAGGTTAGAATTACAAACATCAATTATGGGTCGTTTTACACACCAACAATAAACACTAAATCGTACCAAAATCCTTAGAATAATGGTAAGTCCAGATATCAATCCACAGGGACAAATGTGAAATTAAACTAATTTAATTGTTAAATTCCTAATTTAATTTTGATTGAAAATATGATGATTCATAAACTAATAATAACTAAAATAAACTAAGAATTTAACCTAACAATTAAAAGTGAAACTAGGGTTACTGATTTTCGGGAAAAACCTAAGGTAATGAATTCACCACCAGTTACATAAATAAGGTCTCAATTTGAAAATTAATTATGTACGTTTTGAACCAAATAATATTTCGTAACCACAAGTTCAAAGCATTGATCCAGAGAATTATCACGTTCAACGTATAGGCATGAACCATCTCAAGTAACATGAGTTAGCAAAACGACTCGTCCCTTGTAGTATGGCACATCTCATACCTTGAATATGAAATAACAGAAAACCATTGTATGAAAAGCATTCAACAATCACAGAAAGAAGAATACTTGAAGAAATAATGGAAATATATAATTAAAAACTTCTTGAATACCATACAACTTATTCAAATCATTACATAATCAAAAATAAAAAAGAAAACCCTATTTACTTGGCTAGGGTTTCATCAAAACTCTAGAAATAGAAGAACTAGCCACTCATGGAAGAGTAGGAAAAGGTAGAGGAAGAGAAAACCACCATGAGAGACATTCTTGAAGCTTCAAATCCTTATTTTCAAACCCTAGCCCCTCCTATCCTTTGGGAAATTTCAGACCCTAATCCAGCCTTTTCTTCTGCCTTTATATCTCCAGCTTTTCCAAAATAGGTTCAAAACATCAGGCACAATTTTCAATGTACAGCCGCACATGCGGGAAATACCACCGCACGTACGGAGAGGGTTTCACACGTGCAGGAAATACCCTCCGCACGTGCAATTTTATGTATGTTTAATGCCAATCAAGCTGGATGCGGTTGGTGCACAGAATGAGCAAAAAAACAGCATTTTAACTAGAAAAGTACTTCTCGTACGTGCGGAGGACCATTCCTGCATGTGCAGCCCAAAATGTAGGTATGCTTCATTTGTAAGATTTTAATGTGAAATATGATTTATGAGATCATAAGAATATTTATGGAACTAAATAGTTCATAAGTCATGGATAGGATTTATTAGTAAATCTCTCTAAACATATTTATCATCTTTTTGGGATTTATATCTTGAGAAATTCTATTTACACACTATATTTCTTCTCAGGATACCCTATTGGAACATCAAATTTTTGCTACAATAAGAACCTCAAGTACAATGACTATTAAGGACAACTGAATACACACCAATAGTTCAATTGTTTGTGTGCCAAATTTGGGTGAAGTGGGGTGATGTAATGTTTAGTTTATTTGAACATGAATGTTTTTGTTTCTTTGTTTCTTTGTTTTTTTGGAGTGAAGTGAAGAATACCTAAAACCACGCAACAGTCCCACTCTAATAATTGGTATATTAAGCATAAGACAACTGTGTCCAAACTTTCATCTAAAATAGAGAGGATCTTCATTAATCATAACCAAAACAGTCATCCGAAAAAACCTTGGCGATCTACATCACCATGTCCAAACTGAGGCACAAAAAATTGTATCCAAACCTACAAAACCATTGACAAACTTAGGCACAAAAACCACATCCATCATACATAACCAAAATAAAATAACCACATTGACATCCATCCTACATAGCCAAAACAAAAGTATCATATTCTAAGTTAATCCATTAATACATCCCAAAATATCATGCAAACACTAATGTCGATTTCTCCCCCATTTGAAGTCAATCCATTAATACATCCCACTGGTTTGGGTTCGTAATCTTTTTAACTCGAGTTATTAAGACCGTAGGGGTGTCTCTACACCTAGTTCCCTAAAACCGTTTAGTTTGGGAGTCATTGGTCCAATACTTGCTACATGGGTTAATTAGAAAGCTTAAGGGACGTAGACATTGCACAGTTAAGGAAACATAAGAAAAATGACTTGTTCGGATCCGTAGCCTTTTCAGCTCGAGTTATTAAGCCCGTATGGGTGTCTTCACACCTAGTGCCCTAAAACCGTCTAGTTTGGGAGCCATTGGCCCAATGCTTGTTACGTGGGTGATTAGAAAGCTTAATGGATCAGAAAATTGCACAATCTTTCAAAAAAAAAATAAAAAAAATAAAAAATTAAATTTGTGAGAATTTTAGTTGCAAAAGTTTAGTTTTTCTGCATAGGTTGGATGTTATTGTGAGTTACACTGGGTTATTATGAGTTTTATATTGGACAGTTAACTAGTTATGGGGATTGCGCTTTACATAGAAGGTACTAATAATCTGTTTTACTAGCATTCACAAGTACAGGGAACTTAACTTTTGTAATACTGAATTGTAATTTTTGCTCAATAGATTCCTTCATGCTTGTCAACTGTGTCTTCAATGACTCATCATGTCTTAATATTGCACTACACTGGCACATAAGTTAATTCTTGAGTGGAGTAGTATGGTTAATTGTTGTTGGGCAAATGTGATTACGTTAATATTTGTGGGTATCATTTCTGGAAACTCTTACAAGACTATACTTGTCGACTTGGGGTAACTTTGTGGTTTAAAAACTTGTTACATATGTTAAATGCAATCGTTCTTTCCACGAAAGAGGATGTAGCTAGATTTTGTTTTATTTGTTCTTTTTTTTTTCTTTTCTTTTTTTTTCCCCCTTTATTCCTTGCTTGAGGACTAGCAAGTTATAAGTTGGGGAATGTGATTGATGCCGAATTATACAACATTACCTACATTTGGAAACCTAATAAAATAATAGTGCATATATTAGAATGATGTTTCATTGTCACATTTTAAGAATGACACATTTAGCAAAAGTTTAATAAAACAATAGTATACAAATGTCTCGTTTTGGCAAAATATTAATAAGACAATAGTGCACAAATGAAGTATATTCACTTTTAGAATCTCTAGAAAAATATAACGAAAGAATCTCACGATATACTTTTCAAATTCAATAGGATTTAATTGTTTATAAGAAAATTTATGGGACTTTTTGGGTACACACTTTTTTGGAATGACACTTCTAGGTAAATTTTTCATTTTTTTTAACTAATCTATATTTATCTGTAATTATATCTATTCATACTTTTTAGGTACATAATTGTTTCCACGCCATTTCAATGGCTACGAACATGAGAGCGGTTGCGAACATCTGAACTAACATGACATTCTCGATGCCGTGGATATTTTTTCACAAGTTTACATAGCCATATTGAATTATTCATATCATTGTTTTTGGGCATTAATAAGTAGGTAAACAAAAATATCCTAAATTTTCATTCCTCTTATTGATCCTATTAGAAGATATAACATTTTAAATTGGTAATTATAGTTCACAAGTATATATTAAATTTTATTTTAATTGTTTGGTTACCATTGTTGTCCATGTTATTTTTAAACTAATAAAAAACATAAGTGGCACGTGTTATTTAGAGTATGACATATACTACTTATATGAATAGTTTTTATTAAAAAAAGTCAACAATTATAATCGATTGAACTAAATTGAGACAAAATCATAAATTCATAGTTAAAATTGAGTAAATTAGAGTTATATGAACCAAAATGATACAAAAATCAAAATATAAAAACTAGCATAATTTGCCCTATAAATTTTTGTTAAGGAGCACTTTTATGATATATAATGAGGAATTTAAAAAGATTAACCATTATATATAAGAGTGCGAATATAAAATTTTTAGAAATCATTTTAACATGATATTAAAAAATAACAGTTTAAAAAATACCAGTTAACAAAGTTCTATAATAATGTTGATTTATACCAAATTCCGTTGTACCCGAGAGACCCGGGTTCAAGTCCCGGCAACGGAACCTTTTTTGCACTGCCACGTGTCATACCCTCTGTCTCTCTAGAGATGCTCCATTGTCGACAATGGGTAACAAGACGAAATTCATCAAGAGGAAACAATCGGCAACTTTTCAACTCCTCGCTCGAGACTCCTCTGATCCAAACTACACCGATGGAACTTCGGGCGATTGAATTTTCGTGAGAGTCGACAACAATTCTTACTCACCCTATACCTTCTTCGAAGCAGATGAAGATGGCCAATTCGCCGATAACGATCCCAATTCAGTGTTCGCTGACGCTCCGGACGATTGTGATGATGAAGATGACGGCGGAGATTTGCCAAAGCAGATTCGAGCGCCGCCGCAGAGCGCGGCGGCGGTGTTGCCGGATCATGTAAGGAGGGAGATTTTGGAGCTAGGGTTTCCGGATGACGGTTATATTATAACTATTCGATTCATTTGAGGGAGATTAAGAACATTGGTGGTGGTTTGGCTTATTATCATAATAATAAAGCGAAGCTCGATCAGCTTCCACTTGATGTGAAGGTTCGTTTTTTCATTGATTTGTTTGTATCTTCACCTCTGTTTGGTTATCGAGAAATCGCAAGAAAAGAAAGAGAAGTCTTGAGTTCTTTTTGTTTCTGATTGTTTTTATTTTTTTATTGTGAATCTGAACACAATGTAACTAATGTACGCTGATCTGGAACCTTTTTTGGATAGGCATGAATGGTGGTTTTGTTGGATTTTTGATTGTGCAGATACTTTGTAACAATACTACTGTTTTTGTGTTTTAGGCATATGATGCTTGGAGAGTAGAAATTCCTGGTGTGAATGATGATTTGAACGAGAAGTCAATTTATAATGTGGCATCAAGGACTGTAGGTGTTAGGATTCAGAAAGCAGTTAATCATTAAGTCGTTGCATTGCTTGATGATAGTGATTTGTCTCGCTTCGGTTCTGATGATGAGTACTTGGAAGAGGATTTTGTTGTCAAGGCTAACCTTCTCGATGAAGCGGGGATGTAGAATTTGATAAAAAGTTGAATTTGGTTGAAAACTCTGCGGTGAACAGAAAAGGAGTTGATGTGGTTGACTTTGTTGATGCTGAAGTCAGAAATCTCCTGCCCAATGCCGGTAGCACTGCTGAGAAACCAAGGGCTCTCCACCTTTTAGATGAGTTGTTTTGACATGGTGAGGTCTTGGTTATTTCTATTTATGTGTTTGTCTTCCTGTTTCTAAATCAAAAGTTTGTCATTTTCTTATTAAAAAAGAAAAATCAAAACTTTATGATTATGGTCAAAACATTGGATGACACGGACTTTGTGAAATCAAACTTGATTGTAATGAATGTGAGAAAAATTGTTGGCTAATGTGAATGTTGAACTCCAAAATCTTATCAATATATAAATATATACTCAATTCCAAAATCTTTACAACATGAATAAATGATAGGGGTTTCATACATTCATATGCAATAAATTCAAGGTTAGAACATATCAAAACATGAATTTTTTTTTTTGTAAATTCCTCCATCTCTCTTCCTATTCTAAAACTTTCCGCAAAACTCCAATTTAAATCCTTCCATAACCTATCTTAGATGATTTTCTAACCAAATTATAATTTTCCTTGATAGCTAGGTTGAAGACTTGGGATTTTCTTTTGATCCTTGCTAGTTTCCTTTCTTTTCTCCTTCTTCTTCTCCAAGAACACAAACCCTCAATTGTTTCTCCATCCTTCTCCTTTCCTCGCTTTTGTTTGCTAGGAAAATTGGCTAAAGCCACTAATTGCTTCATTAAATTTATTAATCGAGCTTAGTTCTAATTAACCACACTTAATCTTTAATCTTGATTAGTCTAATTAATACAAAACAATGCCTTTAAAAAGAGATGTTATGAGAGTTTCAAAATCTCATACAAAATTATTTTTAAAATTAAAATCTCTATTGGCTAGCTTATTAAGTATTAAGGCCATGTTTGATTCACAATACTAATAGTGAGGTATTAATAATCATTGTTTCTCCATCCTTCTCCATTCCTCTCTTTTGTTTGCTAGGAAAATTAGCTTAAGCCACTAATTGCTTCATTAAATTAATTAATCGAGCTTAGTTCTAATTAACCACACTTAATCTTTAATCTTGATTAATCTAATTAATACAAAACAATGCCTTTAAAAAGAGATGTTATGAGAGTTTCAAAATCTCATACGAAATTATTTTTAAAGTTAAAATCTCTATTGGCTAGCTTATTAAGTATTAAATTCATAATTATCACAATACAAATTTAAATTTGTCATGATTTATTCCATAATTTAAAATTTTTATTTAAATTACCATGATTTATCCAAGATTGAAGGATTTTAAAAAGGAAAGCTATCTAACTCAATGCAAGATTACCACAATATATATACCTACAATTGTCAAGACTTATCTCATACTTTTGGTTTTCAAAAAAAAAAAAAAAAACTTCCATAGCTCTCTAAATTTAAAAGTAAATGAAAATTAACTTAATTTAATGGTTTTTTATTTTGATTATAGTAATACTTTGTGAATGCATATTTATATCACAACGGAGATCATGTTAATGGTGATAAGTTACGAGAATTTGTTGTCATAAGAACAAGAACTCACAATTAACAATTAAAGCATAGAATGAGGTAACTCCAATGCCATTTAGCAAATTCATATACATCCTTCGAGCATTCAAGTGCTCCATCAAATTCCATAAAAGCTCAAGTGAGGTGTCAACATTCCCCAAAACCCAACTAGCAGCGGCTCATTGAACATTTTCATTTGAAACACCACGGTTAACAGGCCAACCTACTCTGTCAAAGGTGCTCTTTGGTACATCAAAATGGAATTATTAACTAAAGAATCAAAGCACATTTAAAGAGGTAAGATGCCCAACACAACAAATATATACTTCAGGTCTGTTTGGGAAGATGGTTTATGGCTAAAATAGCCACAAAAGACAAAATAATCTATTTTAACCACAACAAACAAAACATCACATCCAACCCATAATTATTACACTCTTCTCTCACAAAAAAAAAATCAAAAAGGCTAAAAAGTCTTTTCTAAACTAAACCTTTTAGCCCAGACTAAAATAGTCAAAAAAACTAAAAAACCAACTCACTTCCCAAACAATCCTAAATTAGATTATCTATCTCTGTGCAAATATGATTCTAGAGGAATAATTAGGTTGATTGAAGATTACCATCGCCACATGATGGCATGAAGCTTGAAGAGTTGATATGACACCAGATTTCAGCTGTGGAGTCAAGGACACATGGATAAATTCACTTCCTATTCCAACTGTCTTGGCTATAGTTGGTTAGGGTACTCGGCTCTCACCTGAGAAACCCGGGTTCAAGTCCCGGTAGATAGGGAAAATTATAAAATACTTTTAGAATATCATGTGTCTGTACTCTCTAATTAATTATCATTCATCATGCCTTTTTATATTCTTCAATCATCTAACACAATACTCCACCTACCTATCTTCTCTACCAATTACAATGGGTTTGGGGTGGCTACTGCACACCATACGTAGTAGCCACTGTTGCACGGCCAACGAGACTTTTTTCGGGTCTCATTTCGACAATCTAAACCATTCACATTTTAGAAAATAATGAATAGAATATACCTTAAAAAATTCAAGTTAATCGAACGTTGGTATCCTTTTCATCAAAACATTTATATCTAAAAAATTGAATGGTAAATTAAATTAGTGTAAATCTGAATACAAATATGACTTGATAAAATGGATACTAATGTCTGATTAATTTGAATTTTTGCAGGTATGTTTTACGCGATATCTTTTAAAAAGTGAACGGTTCGGATTGTTGGAATGAAGCCGAAAAAGGCTCCATTGGCTACACAACAATGGCTGTTGCGTACCATACATAACAGCCTCCTCAAGTTAAATTACAATACCATGAAGTACTACTTGTTCATACTCTGACACTACTGCATGTTCACCTGGCAACATATTATTTTTTATTTTTAAACCCTAATTGCCACATGTCATGATCAATGCCCTGCGATTTAGAGTTTTAGATATAACACTTCGGGAGCTTTTATTTGCACACACTATTTACCCTCTTTACACACACTTAATAAATTTTTTTTATTACATTTTAGTCCTAAAATGAAACTACCAAAATACCCCTTTCTTCTTCAAACTACCAAAAGCCTAACCCTAATCGTAACCCTTACCAACAGTCACCACCATCCTCCATGGCCGCTGCCTCTCTTTTCCTCTATCACCACCGTTACCTCTTCCTCCACCACTGCAACTCCCTTTCATCTGCGAACCCATTGCCTTTCTGCCTCTGTTCCCCATCCCGTCAGGCATCGTGGAATCGCCTCTGTTCGGAAATCAACCATCGAACCAATGAATTTGGTTCGACTATCAACATTCGAACAAAACACATTGGTTCGACCATCAACATCCGAAACCCCCTTTCGTCTGCGAGTCGTCGTCGCCTTCCTTTTTGCGACTGAGATGAGAGAGAGAAAGAGAGGGGTTGCAATACGTCGCCGGTGCTGTGTTGCCGTGGGCATGGAGGCTGCTGGCTAGGGTTAGGGTTTGATAGTTGGTTGCTGGTGTGGAAGAAGGTGTGTGGATTGAGAGTGTTTGTATGAGGATATAACTGGAATAAAATTATGTGTGATGGATAATTTTTTGTTTTTTGAGTGTGTGAATTAAAAAGGACGTGTAAAAAAAGGAATGTGTGTAAATAGAAACTCCCAACTTTCTCTCTCTAGAGAAGTTCCATCGTTGAAAATGGGTAACAAGAAGAAATTCATCAACAAGAAACAATCGGCTACTTTTCAACTGCTCGCTTGAGACTCCTCTGATCCAAAAATTACACCGATGGACCTTTGGGAAATTTCGTGAGAGTCGACAACAATTCTTACTCAGGCAAACCTTCTTCGAAGGAGATGAAGATGGCCAATTCGCCGACAACGATCCCAACTCAATGTTCGCTGACGCTCCGAACGATTGTGATGATGAAGATGACGGTGGAGATTTGCAAAAGCAGATTTGAGCGGTGTTACCGGATCATATAAGGAGGGAGATTTTGGCGCTAGGGTTTCCGGATGACGGTTATAACTATTTGATTCATTTGAGGGAGATTAAGAACACTGGTGGTGGTTCGGCTTATTATCATAATAGTAAAGCGAAGCTCGATCAGCTTCCACTTGATGTGAAGGTTCGTTTTTCATTGCAAGAAAAGAAAAGAGAAGACTTGAGTTCTTTATGTTTCCAATTGTTCTTATTTATTTTTTACTTCTTGTGAATCTGAACACAATAACTAATATACCGTGACATAGAAACCTTTCTTTGCTAGGCATGAATGGTGGTTTTGTTGGATTTTTTTATTGTGAGGATACTTTGTGACAATACTACTGTTTTTGTTTTTTAGGCATATGATGCTTTAAGAGTAGAAATTCTTGGTGTGAATGATGATTCGAACAAGAAGTCAATTTATAATGTAGCATCAAGGACTGTAGGTGTTAGGATTCAGAAAGCAGTTGATCCTGAAGTAGTTGCATTGCTTGATGATAGTGATTTGTCTCGCTTTGGTTCTAATGATGAGGACTTGGAAGAGGACTTTGTTGTCAAGGCAAACCTTCTCAATGAAGCGGAGGATGTAGAATTTGATAAAAAGTTGAATTTGGTTGAAAACTCTGCGGTGAACAGAAAAGGAGTTGATGTGGTTGACTTTGTTGATGCTGAAGTCAGAAATCTCTGGTTTATAAACTTTAATAATTAAAATGTTAAATTTTTTAAAAAGTTTTCACTGATTTTTAATTTCCCCAAAAATAAATAAATACATAACTCCAAAATCTTTGGTTTGTATTGCTTCAGTTTGGAATGACCTTTCTAAAACATTTGAAATAGAAATTCATGTTGACTCTCTTTGCCGGGCAAATATTTTCCACATTTTTTGAAGTTTGGTACAACTGAAAATAAGAGTCAACGAAAGAAAATGTTTTCCTTTTTTTTGAACCAGAAAACATTTTCCAGAAGTCGATCAATTTGTCAAGCAGCACTGAGCTTCTCGTTCCAGCGGTATGTGCTCTCTCTCTCTCTCTCTCTCTCTCTCTCTCTCTCTCTTTGTCTTCATCTTCTTTCTCTTACTCGTTTTCTTCATCTTTTCTCTCTATCTGGTATTTCTCTCACTCTTTCTTGCTCTCATTTTGTAGATAGCATTGATTTACTTTCAAATCTACGAACCAACCCTCCCAGGTACAATTTTCTAGTAACTATTGTAGATATGCTGTGATTTTCTTAAAATTTTGTTACAGATCTATATGTTTTGGCTGTTGTTGAGATATATAATTGATTTCTATGGTTGGTTCGCTTTCAGATCATTATGTTTTTCGATACCTATGTTAAACATGATTTCCGTTGGTTTTCTATGGATGATTTCTGGGCAATTGCTTTTTCCAGATCTGTTATTTCTTTTGGGTATTTGGATCTTGGATGAATTGATGCTGAATTCGATTTTTATTTTTTTAATTTTATTTTTAATGTTCTGTTTGGTTACTGAGGAAATTGATGAATTGAGCTTATATTGTTTGCTTAAATGCCAGAGGCAGAGATTATTCTTATGGCGTTTACATATGCATGTATGTATAGTGTATGTATATGGGTTGTTTATATGATGTGGTTTTAAGTTTATGCAAATATGGCTCTGTTTTTGGCACTTCAATGTCAGTAGATATGAATGTGTGCCTTGTTGTGCCATTGGGAGTCTTGATTTTGGTGCTAAATGTAAGGAAAAAAAATATTAGCCTAAGTTTTCAAATTTGGGTTGTAGATAATATGATATTAGTTTTTGTCTATGATTTGATGGTTTTTGGTTTGACTTGCTAATAATTTAGTTTAATTAGTTTAGAAGGACTAACGTTTGTTGTTAAAATTTAGCCGGAGAGAGAGAGAGAGACCCTTTGATGGGTTTTTGCCCATATTTCCTCCAAGACCAACAATCAGAATAACATATCTGATTTGCATATGAATAATAGTATTCTTCCCTTTATGGTTTCTTCTCTTTACAATTTTCATATTACATTTTTATCAATAATTCAGCAAGAAAATGAAAAATAAAAAAAAATGGAGAAATATTTTGATTACTAGTTCTGTAAACCATAGAGTTCCTATTTATGGTTCCATGAATCTATCTTTATTGAACACTCTGTTTCATACAATCACCTCTTGCTTCTAGGGCTGCAAATGAACCGAGCTGTTCATGAACAAGCTCGGCTCGGCTCGGCTTGTATATTAAATAATAATAATATAAATACATTATTTATATATTAAATAATATAAATAATATTTTTTAACATATAAACATATATTAAATAATAATAATATAAATACATTATTTATATATTAAATAATATAAATAATATTTTTTAACATATAAACATATATTAAATAATAATAATATAAATACATTATTTATATATTAAATAATATAAATAATATTTTTTAATTAAATATTCTTATTTAAATAATATAAAAAATATTAAAAAAATTATCGAGCCAAGCTCGAGTTTCATTAATACTAACGAGCTGAGCCGAGCCGAGCTCAAGCCCAGTTCCTTATCAAGTCGAGTTCGAGCTCAATAAACAAGCTTGATATGTAAACGAGCCTAGCTCGAGCTCAACAAAGATTGGCTCGGCTCGGCTCGGTTCGTTTGTAGCCCTACTTGCTTCTACTTGAAAATTTTTAGTTGTGTTTATCTGTGTAACTATTTGTGGGTAGGGCTAGAAATAGGCATTTGCATTAAGCTTTGTTCAAGTTCAGTTAGTAGTGAGTATGAAGAAATTTTACTCTAGTTAAAAAACAAAAAAGCTTAATTGGAAATTTTGTGTAGAAGAACTAAAAATGGAGTCGTGTGAGAAATAGGTTGAGCTTTTGCTCTTATTATGTTCTTTGGCTCTACAAGCTAATTGGTGCTGCTTTGAATTAAAATGCCCCCCAAATCCACGGCAAGGATTCACATCTCCAAACACTTTCAACTAGTATTTAAAAGCTTTTAAGTCTCAGCATTGAGTGTTTGAATAGAACAATAACAGAACAGTGCTTGTTTGAATAGAACAATGACAACCAATATTTTTTGTTGTTGTCTATATATGCATAGATATATATTAGGCTTTCATGTTTTTTTAATGGTTTAATTGATTTGCTACTCTTTAAATTGTGTCTTGTTATGTAGATGGATAATAAACAAATTGAAGCAGCAATTATGGGCGCAGCTGCATCTATTATTGCTGTGGGTATTGTAGTCTTGAAAGATGATAGATGTAGGAATTTTATACGTAGGGAACCTTGCATCGATCGAGAGTTTTAAAGATAAATTTACAATAATAGCATTCTTTATAGTGGTTATCTTAAATGTGTGGATCAGATAAGGATGAGGCCTTCTGCTTTTTTAAGCTATGTAAAATTTTTGCCGAGAACTTACTACAAGAAACCATCCACATTTCCATTACGGAACAAGTGTTAATCTTTTTACAAGTCATTGGGTTTAATATGAGGTTTTGAACGATAGGTGGAAGGCTTTATAGATCGAATGAGACTATACACCGGTACTTTAGAGCTGTCCTTCGAGCTATTCTGTCACTATACAAATACATGGTCAAACTCTCTGACAATGAAACACCCCTAGAAATATGGAACCACAACAGGTTTACCCATACTTGAAGGCAAGTATTAGATATTTTAGATTCTTTCTTTTTTGCGTGGCTGATTTTAAGAAAACATATCTTGGGCTTGTCACTGTTAGGATTGTGTCGGAGTGCTAGATGGAACTCTTGTTCATGCGACTGTTCCCATTGCAATGCAGGGAGGGTTTCGTGGCCAAAAATATGGAACACCACAAAATATCTTAGCTGCCATTACCTCCGACTTGAAATTCACATATGTATTAGCTGGTTGGGAAGTGCACATGATTCACATGTTCTAAATGATGCACTCACTAGGTCGGGGGGATTTAAAATTCCTGAAGGTATTATAAGATTAAAAAGCGTTCTTTAATTGTCGATTAATAGTAGTCACTAGTAATTTTTATTTCGTTGTAACTTTGTAGGTAAGTATTATCTTGGTGATGCCGGTTATGGAATTAGAAAAGGAATTATCTCCTCCTATCGTGGTGTTAGATACCATTTGAAAGAGTTTAGTGGTCATCAACCACAAAATGAGGAGGAACTATTCAATCTTCGTCATTCTTCATGACGAACCACTATTGAGCGATGTTTTGGAGTTTTGAAGAAGCGTTTTCGTGTGTTGGATGCAGAACCATATTGACCATTCAAGACACAAGTAGATGTCATTTTAGCATGTTGTGTCATTCACAATTATATAATGGGGATTGATTCTATGGACTCAATTATGGAAGAAGTAAATAATGATATGCGGCTTGGAAATCTAAATCAAAGAGTCCAACAATCACAAAGGGAAGTTGGGGAAGAAAATAGAGAATGGGTAATGAAAAGGGATGAGATTTGTCATTGCATGTGGGAAGATTATATTGCTAGGTGAAACAGATAATTTTTTATGTTTTACATTTTTTTGTATTGGAGTTGGCACTGTTTACTTGGATTGTTTTGAACTATTGGTATCACTTTAATATTTATTAGTTATTGTGGCATTGGATCATGATGTGTTTTATTTGTTGCTTTTACAAAATTTAAATGGTTTTGCTGGGATTATCTATATTCACATCTTGTAGTATTATTGGAATTTGGGATTGTCTCATGAAGGAGCATGTTGCTGCATGCCACTTATCTGTTGAATTGTGTGGTTGTGTTGAATAATATCATAATGAATCTATAACATGGAGCTAGCTATTATACATATATATATATATATATATATATTACATGTTAAGAAAATTATCCTCTATTTCAGCAGTAGAATTCACTCAAGTATGTCATATTAAGAAAATAAGAACTAACTATATATACAACAGAGATTTATGATTGAAGTTTATGTTATTGAGTTGTGCTTTTGATTGACACTGTAGCAATGGCATCAAAAAAAAGATAAGGAGAAAGATAGCAAAAGCAAGAATTTTAGATGGTTAAAACCTATGCAGACTATGTTGCTTGAGATACTTTTTGAAGAGGCTAACAAAGAAAATAAACCATCCAATACATTTAAACCGGGATCATTTGCTCGAGTAGCCAAAGAAATTAATGAGAAATTTGGAACTGAATGCCAATCTAATGATGTGGAAAACTGTCTCAAAACTGTCAAATTCATGTGGAACGTTATTACCGAACTTTGTTATAGAAAGAGTTTGGATGGGATGAAAATCTCAAAATGATCACTTGTGACCGAAAAGTATATGTCGAAGAAGTGTCGGGATGACATTTATTTTCATAATTATTTGCAAGTTTTAAATTCTCTTTTTTCTAACTATTTGTTCTTGGTTTTATTGCCTTCTTTTTAAATAGGCCCGTCCTGAACATCAGCAATATTTGAACAAGAAAATTGAGTTTTATGATGAGACGGCTGTAGTAATTGGTAGAGATATGGCAACAGGGAACTTTGCGAAGTCTTTTGTTAACATAGATGCTGAAGCGAAAATTGTTGAATCAATTGATTTTGGCATTGATGTGGAAGATGTAGCAAAAAGGAAATATGTTACTTCTTCAAGTGAAATTTCTTCTGAAGCAAGGTCTCATAAAAGGAATCACTGTGATCAAGATGATAGCTATGACAAGTTATCCGAACAAATTGGAGAAGTTGCTTCAGCAATAAAAAAATTGACGGAGGATCAAGTTAATGGTAATGATCTTTATGAAGAAGTTATGAAGATGCAGGGATATGATGAATTTATGCTTGCCCAGCATTTGATTATTTGGTTGAAAATGAAAATGTAGCAAAGGCATTCATGATCAAGAGTGTTAGGCTTGGAAAAATAGGGTTGGAAGGTTTCTTTGAAAAAATGCTAGAAACTAGTTGTCTAAATTTGTACTAGGCTATGAATTAAGGCCTATTAGCTTGTTTCCTTTTAGCTTGTTTAAATTTTTTTGTTTTCACTGAATCAAGGCCTATTAACTTTTTTTTTTTTTTTTTTTTGGTTTAAATTTTTGTTTTCACTTTATTGACACAAGTCCTAAACTATGAGGATTGTTAGTGTAATTCACTCTAAATCATTTTATAGGTGAACCAAACAATGGAAAATGTTTCCCGGAAAACATTTTCAAGTCCAACCAAACACAAGAAAACAAATCAATTTTTTGGGAAAGGTTTTCTGCATAAAAATGTTTCCCTCTTGAAAATGTTTTTTGTCCAAATAAACGGAGCGTAAAGTCTGGAAAAGTAATCTTTTGTGCCGTAAAACCTTTTTCGAGCTTCCATGGTTTATTTTTGGATACCTTGTCATGTCTGATTTTGTTCTACCTAAAGTTTTCAAAGACGTACTTGAGGTGTGTATTGAGGTGAGACGCATCAAAAATGCACTGATGCATGTATTTTTAGGCACGACTTCAACTATGCGCAAGCCTCAGCAGCCCAAGTGTATGAATTTCTTGAGTTTTTTGCGCTTTTCGTGCTTTTCATGCATCCGATGCCGAGGCATAAGCATTCGAAGATTTCGATTTCAAAATCCCAAAACGGAAAGAAAAGGGTATTTAACGGAAACTTGCTATACATGTTGAGAGATTCTATTTACACACCACCATCTAACTCAGTGCACACCACTTTCTTAGTTCACAATACACCCATTTTGAATTATTTGATATTTTCTCAATTCACACCAACAATTTTTTGAAAAACCCAAAATACCCTAAATCTTCCCAACTCTCCAACCTTTACCAAATTCTAACCCTAATCTTAACTACTACCATCACCAGCGGCTGTCATCCCTTCCATCGCTGCCCCCCTTTCCAACCTCCTTCTTCTTCTCATTCTCCGGCGACTCTAATAGCTCATCCCTTACCATCAGTTGATACAAACATACCTTCATCTTCCCCAACCCTAACCTTAACCCTAGTCACCATCCATGGTCACTACCATTGTTGCCTCTATCTTCTCTCTCTCTCTCTCAAAATAGCGATCTGCTCTCTCTTTCTCTCTCCAGAAATTGCGATCGCGAGATTGCGATTTGCCCTCTCTTCGTCGTCGGGCTGCGATGACACTGCAAAGGGGTAAGGGTGGGTTGTGAGGCTGCAAATGGGGCATTGGCAAGGTTGTGGAAGGTGCTCCGCCGAAGTGGAAAGTGTTGGTAGTGGAGGTAAAGAGGGCTTAGGTGAGCGCCGAAGGTATAGTGGTATGCAATGGTAGGGCAGTGACTGGAGGCGATGCGATGCGAGAGGTGGCTATAACGACAGCATTATAGAAGGGACGACCGAAGTTGGGAGCAACCAGCGAAAGGGCAGCGCTGGTTATGGCTGGTGTGTAATTAGAATTCTATCCAAAATGGTAATTTGCTTAATGGACATAAATGTAGTAAAAAAAAATTTATAAAGATGGTGTGTATTAAGTCAAATAGTGGTGTGTAAATAGAAGCTCCCATACATGTTCGAATAAAATAGAATTTGAATAAGAAGAATATATAAATACCATATGAGGATGATCGTTCTTTAGTAAATCATCATTAGAGTCCAAGTTTCAAAAAAATCAATCTTTTTCTCTAACGAACTAGGGTTTTGTTGAGGTACGAAGTTTCTCTCTCTTTCTCAACTCACTCTCTCTCATTCTATTTTTTTGCACCGTCTCTCTCTCTCTCTCTCTCTCTCACATTCTTGCATTGTTTTTCATCTCATTCATTTTGTTAGTTGTATAATCTTGTATCTGTATCTATCTATCTATATTATATATTATATTATATACTTGTCTTATTTATTATTATTATTATTATTATTATTATTATTATTATTATTATTATTGCCTATAAGTCTGACTTTTATATCTATCGTTTCTGTATGATATTAGTATTATATTATATGTATTGTAATACAGATTCTAGACTTATATTTTATTAGTATTAGGGTGCTCAAGCAATAATTCCAAACTTGGATTTTTTTTGCTCAAATGTCCAGGTGCTAAAACATTATGTCTATGAGGACAAGTTTTTGCGAAATGACTAAAATACCCATCATTCCTATACATACACGCATGACACGACAATCTGTTGAAGTTGGCCCGTTTCAACAAACTCTCTCTCTCTCTCTCTCTCTCTCTCTTTTCTTTCTTCTTCACCGGCAACTATTTGGCTCTCCGCCACTATCGCATCTCTCTTTTTGCCCTCTTCATCTTCATCTCCGAGGAACCCTAGCTGACTCTGACCATACCTCTGTCGCCTAAGTCGCCTCTATCTACACTAGTGTTCTTCAGATCTCTCTCTACATCTTTTCTCCCTCTCTCTCACCACTACATCCGTTGTCGTCGTCGTCTCTGATGGCGACACCTCAACTTTCTCTAACCTCCTCCTATTTGTCGCCTCCTCTGTCTTAATCTCCACCACCTCCAACTTTTAACCTGTCCCGTCTCTTTCAATCATCTAATCTACGAATTCGAACTAGTTATCACATCTACGGCAATACAGACTCCACGCGTCGTCACATCGAAGTGGCTCCACCACTATCACGGAGATCTGGAAGATCTAGTCGTGATGGTCGGAGATCGAGGTGGCGTTTCAAGCTCAAATTGCGTTGCAAAAGCAGTCAAGTGAAAAGTTATCAGCCATTGCTAGGACCTTCTATTTCCTGTCTCACTTTTTGAAAAACTCTCTCACTTTGGACTAATCTGACAGATCTATATATGCTTGTGGTTGTGTACATATAGATTTGTATTAGATTCCTCATTTTTTTTTCTTGGATCTAATTGTTGTTGTTGTTGGTGATGATGAAGAAATAGATTGCAACAAATTTGAATAGATCCTATTATCTCATCTGTTCAAATCCTATTATCTGTTTAATGATGAAGAAAAAACATATTGCAACAAATTTGAATAGATCTTATTATCTTATTAGTTGCAATCCTATTATCTATTTAAAATTTGAAAAGATAATAAAATATGTTCAAAATTTGGACAGATGGGCTAACTTCACTTTAACTCCCTGTGGTTTGGGTTGAGTGCGATTTACCTTCCTAATATTCTAAAATCGCCACATAACCCCCACGTGGTTTGTGGATTGAAATGTACACTAACTTCTGTTAATAGAAGTTGTAAATTGACAGTTATACCCTTATTCTCTCTCTCTCTCCACATTCCCTTCTTCTTCCTTCATACCCACATTTTATACATACATATGCATATATACATATCAAACCCAGTTCACAGTTTACTGCCCAAACTTTTTCTTCATCATATACAAATCCATACTTTGGAAGACAAACTAGTGTGTTTTGTAGCCAAATAGAGTGGCTGTTTGTCTGCTAAACCATGGAGCATACTGTGGAAGAAAAATGGAATGTTTCATGCTTAAAAGTGCAAAATAGCAGATCATTTTTCAGATCACTTGGTTGGTTTATTTGGTATCTCTTACATTGATTTTCAGATCATTTTGTTGTAGACAAATCCAAACCCAGTTCAGATTATTTTTCTAATCATATACAACCTAATCAAAGATATATATATATATATATATGTATGTATATGTATATACACAGTGAACTCTCTCTTCCTTCTCTTCTTCTTCCTCCATCCCTATCCATTATATGTATTATATATATAAAAACATCATATGCATATGTCTGTACATAAATATGTGTATATATACACTTGTATATACAATGAGTTTCAAGATACACTCTTCTCTTCATTTATAAGATAAAATGTGGGTATGAAGAGTCTTATTCAGCTTAAATCTTCTTACCCCAACCTATGGTGTTTGGGTGGAGATTTTAATGAAATAAGATTTATGAGTGAAATGAAGGGATGTTCGAGGAGGGAGAGGGAGATGAAAGACTTCAATGAGTTTATTGATAGATTGGAATTAAGTGATTTACCTATGTAAGGAAGATCATTCACCTGGTGTAATGCAATGGAAAGAGACATGTAAAGTAGGATTGATAGGTTTCTAGTTGACCCTGTGTGGCTGGAGAGGTTTCAATTGAAACAATGGGGATTAACCAGAAGTATATTTGATCACTGCCCAGTTCTGCTAATGGAGGATGAAAGGGATTGGGGGACCAAAACCTTTTCGGTTTATTAATGCATGGACACTTCACCCAAAATTCAAGACAGAGGTGAAGAAATCTTGAGAGGATTCTTAGATTCTAGGATGGGCTAGCTTTAGAATCATGTGTAAATTGAGGATCTTGAGAGAACATTTGAGAAAGTGGAATAAAGAGGTATTTGGGAATATTGATGATCAACTCAAGAAAGCTGAAGATGAATTGCATGAGTGGGATTTGAAAGCTGAATCCAGATCTCTGTTGGAGACAGAATTGAAAAGAAAACGACAAATTAGAAGTCAAGTGTGGAGTCTAAGTAGATGTAAGGCGAGAATGTGGTTGCAAAAATCAAGACTGAAATGGGCACAAAATGGTGATAAAAATACTCGATTGTTCCACTTGATGGAAAGTAGAAGACAGAGGAAAAATTTATTAGGCTTTGTAAAGGTGAATGGTGTGGTGTTTGAAAATCCAACTATGGTGAGGTAAGTGGTTGTGAATCACTTTAGTAGAGTGTTTACTGAAAACTGGAAGTCTAGGCCTAAACTGTCAGGTCCCTTTCTATTCATCAGTCCAGCTGATACAAAGAATGTTTTGGAGGCTGAGTTTAGTGAGGTAGAAATTTGGGCAGCCATTTGAGATTGTGATGGAAATAAGGCCCCTGGGCCCGATGGGCTCAATCTATCTAGTATTAAAAAATGTTAGTTTGTAATAAAAAAGGTGAGTTTCTTCAACTTTTCAAGGAGTTTCACAGTAATGGGAAGATGGCTAAAGGGGTCAATAGCTCGTTTATCACTTTGATTCCTAAAAAAGAGAACCCCACGGATTTGAGTGAGTATAGACCAATTTGTTTGGCTAGCTTAGTGTACAAAGTGTTGGCTAAAGTGCTATCTAGATCGCTAAGACAAGTGTTAATTCGACTCATAAGAGAAGTTCAGACTGCTTT